ACCATTAGCCCTTATAATGAAAACTAAACCTTAATTTAAATCTTATTGGGCTCAAATAGCAAAATTATAACTAAATCAATAGGCTTAAACCATTGAAGAGCAAAAACCCAATTTCTCAAGGTTTATTTTGTGCCCAAAACACCTCTTTTCATCCAATTATCTACTCAAAATATTAGATCACTATATAGAAACTCAAAACATGCTCCCTAGGATCCAAAGAAACAAAAGCTTACAAGAATAAAGCCTTTAGGATCAAAATCCAAAAATTTTCTCTTCCAAACATTGAAGAAAATCAAGAGAAAGAGAAGAGGATTGAAGTAGGGAGTTTACCTATCGTGTAGCCAAGCTCGTAACAGTCGCAAAGACTCCTATATCCAAGCCTAACTCCCTCCCTTTCTTTTCTCTTCTTCCTCTCTCTCTCTCTCTCTCCCGTTTGTGCATTTCTTTCCTTATTCATTTTCTCTGCGTTTCTGGTCTGTTTTGGTCTTTAAAACTGATGCTAAAACATTTTGGGGCAAATTATAAGAAAGGACCCAACATTTTTTATTATTGCACAAAAGCCCGGGTAACCTTTGGTAATTTTTTTCATAGTTAAAAATCAAATAAAACTAAACTTTTGCTTAGTAAAATTCAAACTCTGGACCTCTATCAAATTATTCTAAATTTAATTTAATTATAAATATTTTATTTTATTTTTATAAATCCGAGTTTTAAAATTTTGGGATGTTACAATGAGGTTTTGTCCTGAGTTGCACAATTCTTGAAGGAAATCTAGGAAGAAAAGGGAAGAGGTAGTATATATAGAAGGAACTTGAACGAAGAGGAGGACAAACATAAGAAATAATCAACATGAACAAGATTGTAAAGGGAATTCATCCAAAGCCATAAATCAATCTAGTAGATGATCATGTGATAAGAAAGTAAATCCAATCAAAAAAGAAAAAAGAAAGTAAATCCAATGTATCCAATGAAATCCAACAAATCTAAAGATCAAACACACAGTTGGGTATAGGTGTTGAGCCTATCAGACTACTCGTTAAAGTCATTTTTTTCATGCTTGGGCTTAGAAAATTAGGTACTTTCTTGTAAAATAAAATTCAGATGAGATGTGTCCTAAAACTCACTAAGAGCCAAGGACATGCCCCTAGAGGCTTAAAGAGTACTTATTAATCACAAACTACTAATAAGATCTTCATATTAGTAGAAGGATTTGATTAATGATCTTATAAGTTATAAGTCAAATCTACTAGCTACTATCAATATTCTGATTCTTTGTAGGGAATTATGCCATCTTCATTTTGAACTCGCTTACAACCAAAGAAATAGCAAATTCCCCCACCCATTATGGAGCATCGAATGTAGCTGTATATTTTCTATGGGTATGGTTCACTTATTCATTTCTCTCCCATCCTTTCTTTGGGTTTTTCTTCTCCATCCTTATTGGCTCCATCAATCTTGTGAATAATTGCTAAGAATAATTTGAAATTTGGGAGAATTACATCTAAGGACTGAACAAGAACCTTATTTGCAAATAATGACTAATAACAAATCACATTAAAAAAAAATAAGTTTGTATTTCTAGTTTAACAGCAATTCATTCTGTATTTATTTTTGTCTGTGAATAAATTTCTTCTCAAGTCTTTAAACGTGATTCTCTCTTAAAATGTTGAATACGTGCTTCCTCATTTTCATCTCTCAAGCCAGTTTGAATTTGAGTACTAATGCTAATAACATGCTAGGCCCAACATTTGGGCCTCTTTGCTTGCAAGAATCAAGTCCCAAATATTGCTAATATTCATTCCTTTAGTTTATCCTACCGAACGGGTGGACGGGGACGGACTTTGTAAATCATCATTGTGAGTTATGAGAGGGGACAATGTCTAAGTTACTGAAGAATTTCCCCTTTATTGCACACTTGCATTTCCCTTTCTCAAGGGAATTCACTCCTAATAGTAATAATGATTAACATTAACTATTAATTCCTAACATATATAAATAAAATTATAATGTCAACTTGTGTACTACATAGAAATATTATAAGCCATTGGCTTGTCTTTTGCACAAGTGTATCTTAAATGCCAGTTTGTATGATTTCACAAGAATGGGATTTACTTTCACGACAAATTAAAATTACCAATAAAATAAATATTGAAAAATTAATATAGACATGCATCGCAATCAACCCAAGATATATCTATCAAATCATATCATTATTTATAAGTTATTACTCCCTTTTGAACTATTTATATAGTAGAGAGTTTTTTTTTTCTAGTTATAAATCACATCATTAAATTTTCATCACAAATTATTTCTTTCACCCTCTATTAAAATGTTAAAAAGAGAAAATATATTTATTAAAGTATATATATTTAATAAGGGTAAAGTTGAGAACTTATTACTCCCTCCATTAAAAAATATAAGAAATTTTTTGAGGAGTTAGATGTTCAAAATGTAAGATATTTTTAGTTTTTTAATGTGTAATCATTATTTTTTTTAAGTGTCCCTATTAATGAATGACTTTATATTTATTATAGGGTATTTAATAGGGATAAATATGAAAAGATATAATTAGTTTGAAAATACATAATTACTTTATTGGAGGTGAGATTCAATTAAAAATGCCTTATATTTTTAAATGGAGGGAGTAAATTTTTAGATGGAGTTAATAAGTTTTGAAATTTTTCTTGATTCTAACAAAACATGTTAAAAATAATTTATAAATAAAATTAAAGAAATACTCACTAGCTTCATACAAAAAATATGCAATGATTGAGAATTCTTACTTGTAGAATATTTATTATGATTTAAAAACCCTTAGACTCTAGAATTTTTCACTAGTACAAACAGTTAGAGACCTCACATCAAATGCTATCACTTTTCTTGCCTTTCACTGGATTAGAACCTATAGAGCTCCTTTTTGTGATATTTCCTTCACCTCTCCATAGCTTAGACTCGCGCATAACAATATGAGCTAATAGGGATGGAAATAAGTTGGGTCAAACTAAACTTTAATCAAATAAAGTTAAATTTGTATGGTAAATTAGAGACTTGAGCTTGACCTGAAACCTATATAAAGTATTTTTTATAATTCAAGTCTGAGCTTACTTAAAGTCTAACCTAATCCATAAGTTTATTTAAAAATCTATTTAAAAGTAAAGCATTTTAAATAGGTTTGTATTTTTATTTTAAACGTCTCAAATATATTTTAGGGTTATTATAATATACAATATATAACATAATTTATCAATTACAATCTATAAGAATTGAAAGGACTTACTAATTACAATACAATATAACAATAAAGTGGCAATATTAAAATTGATATGCAAGTTAAATATGATTGAAAATATAACTAAAAGTAATGAAAAATAAATTGATTAAAAATCATATGGTAAAACTGATGTGTTTATAGTATCATACATAATATATATATATATATATATATAAATAGATTGACCTGTTAGGCTCGTAGGCTAAACTTTAAAAAAATAAACTTGATTTATTTAACTAAATAGGTTTAATTAAAGGCTTAAGCCTTACTTAAATAGGTTTGGCTAGGTTTGAAATAAGCCAAACTGTAAACTCCTAATAAAGATCTAACATATTTCCACATTTATGAGCTAATACTCAAAGTGCCCATAGATGAAATAAAGTAAGTTTCTCAAATATTAAAAAAGTACACACACACACACACACACAAATGATCACATTGACATTGTCAAATTCATGCCAAATTGTTCTTCCCTCATGCCACCATTTCATCTCATATTTCTTTTTGCATATCCATCAATCCAATCCAAATACTTTAACATATCATTTGAATTGATGAATTTAAATTTTAAATTTAAATTTTAAATTTCATATTTAAAATTCATATATTTAAAATTATTTGTTTTGACATTATAAAAATTTTCAAAAGAATAAATATAAATTATGATTCAAAATGCAAGACAATGAAAAGTTTACCTTTGATTATTAATGGATATGAGACAGACAAGAAATGAGATAAGAGGTGAAAGTGACATAGGCACCAACAGTGAAAATGTGAGAAAAATGAAAAGATTCAAATGATTGAAATTTCAAATAATTAGAACATAAGCAAAATTATAAGAAATAGATTTGGATAATTCAAAAAATTTCATATATCTATATAAAAAATTTGACCCAAATCCAAATTCAAATCTTCATTAATTCAAATACAAAATTAAAAAATGCAGATTTTACCACAACCAATTCCATTCTACTCCTTTCAAATCTTCTCATACTAGAAAAGCATTACAGAATTCCCCAGTACTCTTCCCATTCTCTCTCTCACTGGAGGTCCATGAGGAGTAAAGGAGAAAGGAAAGGGCAAGATGTACAAATGGATCAAAGACATGAAGCTTGGGATTGTTGTGCTGCGAACCATCATCTCATTACTAACAATATTAGGTGGCAGGAATATAGTGATGTAGAGTGTAAGTAGAGGTCCAGAGTTTATGCCCTTCATATGTAACAAAAAAAAAAACAAAGAAAGAAAGAAAAAAAAAAAAGTAATCATAATATGTTTGTTCAAGAGCCTAGAGACATTCCACAAACCACGACAGCCTAAAAAAGGAGACATTTTACTTGTAACAAGTTTAAACTATAAGGGACAAGGAAGTCCAGAAGTCAATAAAAATTCATGAATTGAGCCCATCACCTAAATTCAGTCCACCAACCCCCCTCGCTTCCCCCCAAAAATAAAAAACAAACATCTTCACGCGGAATGAAGTTCTTATTGGACATCGTCATTGTGAACCCTCCAGCAAATGCGCCACAACTATCATTCAATCACACGCCATGTATGGCAAATATCTCCCAAAAAAACTCCACTTCCCAGATGAGTACAAGTACCTGAATAAAATAGTATATTTCCAAATATATCTGACCCATCAAAGAGATAAATCACATGATATAAACCATAAGATGACAAGAAAATTATTCTATGGAAAGGGGGTAACTGAATGTGAAAAAACACGTAACGGAAATTGGTATGATCTAATAGATTAATCTTGTAAAATGAGGCCAATCAAACAGGATCAAAAAAGAAAATGGAATCAACTTGCAATTGACTGTAATTAATCTATACTGAGAGCTAAAAAGTTGTACAACTTTGCATGGAGGTTAAGAAACGCGCCAATTTCTGAAGGCTGGAAATAATGATGTGAAAATTGGGTGAAGAACCTATAAAACAGAAAGGAAAGGAAGCTTGTAGCCAGACCTCTATGTACATAAGTTCGTTCCACCTGAAACAAGTGTTCCCTTGAAAAATGTAACAATACTTTGCACAAGGCACCATCTCATCAGTTTAATACATCAGTTGTTGATGGCGTATGACCTGGAGCTCCTACTTTTCAGAGTCTTCAATTTGCAAGACATGTGCAATGTTAGTAGAGATCATAATCTTTCCACAGTTCTCCAGAAGAATGACAGTCCCGAATCTCATTCCCCGCAACAATCAACAAGCTCTTGCTGACTCCCTTCTATATGTCCTCTTCCAAAGTTACAATTTCCTGAATACCTTTATCAATTTTCTCCTTCTTGTCCCCAACTTTTTCTGTGTCATTTATCACTTCCTCCTCATTAGGTCTTTGAACGTCATCATTTGCTGTTTCTTCTACAGGGCTATCCTCCTCACCCACCATGTCTTCCTCTTTTACAGCTTTTATAACCTCAAGAAGTTCAGATGGAATAGCAGCTGGGTCCAACTCCCAGCAACCCCTTACAATGTCTGGTTTTTCTTTACCTGTGTGTAAGTATGAAGGGACCTGATGAGAGAACCGAAACATCTCTTCTCTCGGAATGATCCTAATTTCTCCTGGGTCCAAGTGCCGGTGAAATAATGTCTTGAAACCAGCCACCTTTACCAGGGGAATGACCATAACACCATCTTCTTCAGTAAAATGCTCAAGTACCTCAACCATATCATACTTGTGTATCACCTCATCTGCCGTCAGCTCATTCCAATCAGGTGACCAATTCCTATAAAGAGCCCAAACATCCCCTTTCATGGGGTAAATACAAATGGCTCCATGAGCACCTTTTCTCCATCTAACCTTATGAGAAAAACAATTAACTGAGTTATTGATTTCATATCTACCCATTCTAAACTCCCCACAAGTTTTAGAAAAGCCTGAAATGATCCAATTTAGAGGGGCCAGTTTATCATTGGTCTTCGAGGTGAGCCAACTGATCTGCATCTTTAATGGACTCAAAGAAATCACACTATGAATCATAGCATAAATTCGAGGCATCCCATCATCATCATCGTATGCAACCCATACTTGATTTTCACTAAAAGACCTATCAGTTCGATCCTTATCAAAATCATGAAAATCAGGATCAGGGATATCAACTGTCATTGTTTTCATGTCCACATTAGCAATAGTAGTTCCAGCAGAAGTCTTGATGGCCTGGAATTCACTATCCCTGTTGTCAGACTTACAGAGGTCGTTTTGATCACCTTTCTCATTTTCTCTGTCACATCCATTTCCACTCTCTGCAACTGCTCTCTTGAAAATAGTATTTGACTGAATATCCTTCAGTTTCTCATCAATTTCTTTTCTAGCTCTCACCACAAGATTATTACGCTCAAGCTGGGCAGCTTCTGCACCACTGGTCTTCAAGCTACCATTAATTGAGATACGATCAAAATAACCTGGTTTAGAAACACACGAGCTACCTGCTCCCACTACTCCATTTCTCATTCCCGCTTGATTGGTAGGTTCCTTACCATGGCTGCTCACACCAGAATTGTCCATGCCTCTTCTTCTCTTTGCAGTATTCATATACCCTTTTTTAGAAGCATGCTGCTTCCTTCGTAAGGCCTGTTCCCTTTTTAGAGCTGCTTGCGCTTCCTCACGCTCTCGCTTCACTTTTTCATATGCCTGTTGAACCACATTTGCAGCTTGAGCAGCTGTTGAAACACCAGAAGTTTTTGAAAATGGAGCCCACTGGAAATCAGTATGGTTATAGGAGTCAGTATTACCATAAAAACCTGCCCCAACATTTGAGGTCCGCTTGTTCTTTCCTGCATTAGATTTGTTTTTAATAGGCACTTGATCATTGAAATTTTGCTGCTGCCGGGAAAAGTTAAATGAGGTGGCAGGTCTTACACCACTTGCAGGTGGAGGATCTGTTTCTACAGCCAAAAATGCCCCATGACAGTTGGGACACAGGAGTTTCAAATTAAGATAAACTCTAAGATACTCATACTGCATTTTGCATCGATTGCAAACAGTCCAGAAAGTACTTGATTTCGACTTGTGAGTAGAAGATGAATCATGGGGTTTAGTGGTATGCTTATGAGCTCTGGCACTTGAAGTGGAAGCTTTTGTAAAATTGTGATTCCCATTAGTCCCTGGACGCACTGATGTGCCACAAGACATTGTTGAAACCTTCTGCACTTTTGTGTTTCTCTTCTGATCATATGCCACCTTTTTAGCCTTATCTGACAGCAAACTCCATGCCTCTGAAATAAGTTTAAATGCCCCATCAGCTCCAATAGACTTGTTTTTATCAGGGTGAAGCATGAGAGCCAGCTTCCTATATTGTTTCCGGATTGTTTCATCATCAGCCCAGGGATCTGCACCAAGTATACCATACCAATCTGCTTCGCCATTTATTTTATTGTCTGCAGAAATATACACATCAAGTGTAGATAGCATTTGGGAAATACCCTCAAGCTCAGGAAATAATTTTTGGGCCTTTAAAGCAAACTTCTTCGCCCCCAAAATATCCTTTGCAATAAACATCCTCTCAGCAATTTCTTTAGCTCTGGTGGCCTCATCCTTATTGCACTCCATTTTCTAGACAGTCTTCCAGTTTAATTTCTCAGTGCTTCATTGCCATATAACAGCAACATTGTTCTAATTGATTGAAGTTTTGCAACCTTGTACAATTCTACATAATCAGATCTCTTGTTCAAAAGTTTGCCCGTTGTAACATAACCCTATATGAAAAAAGGCAATTTTAATCTAGAAAATAATGAAAGAAGCATCAAGCAAGATGTAAATTGCTAGTAAACTGAGTTCAGTCAAATTGAAAGTGAGAAAGTAACGGCAATAATGTTTCTCAAAAAATACGAGTACATTAGGAGACTGAAATTAATTATTGAACATACTGAAAGAAAGGAAATGAGAAATGAATGACCATTCTCATTTTAGTGTTCAGTTCCTTGAGGAATAAAATGGTGTTACATTCTATACCATTGAGTTCTAATGTTTAACATGCAAATTACCATATCACAAAAACGTAACTGTAACTGAGCAAGACTAAATAAGGATACATAAAACAAAATCAAGAATCATGATCCTCTGAATATTTAATTTCCCTTAATCTAAACTAAATGAGTCTCATACCTGTGACTAAACGAGACTACAACAGGATATAAACAAAAACTTAAGTATCATGATCCTCTAAATATTTAAATTCCCTTAATTGGGACAGTCCAAACAAGTAAAACTGATATCTAGCATCAATTCATGCCATGTCATCATTTTGCAAGTTCCCTGTTTCATTCCCTTTTTCCTTCTTTACACTGACTATAGGAGAGAGTAAAAGCCTCAAAGAATACATGAAAACTCATCTGTTCCGGGCAAGCAAGTGGATTAATATAATATATATATATAGGGTAATTTTTTTTTTTTAATAAATGCTAAGATCACTCCCCACAGACCATCTTTTTTGGGACTTCGATCTCATCTTTATGAATTTAGTGCTACCAATAAACAACAATTCCAAACACACGAGATAATGGCATATACTTAGCAAGGTAGATTTTAGGAATGATTGCCCAAATACTTATAGGAAAATTACAGCTAGGCCCATTCATGCATTTTTGTAGATTGGGATTTTTCCAGCACAGCAGAGCAGTCTTTGAATTTAGTGATAATAAAAGTTTACTAAATGAATACATATACAGATCCAAGTGCTTGCCATGTTCAGAAGAATCAAAACACATCGAAATGGTACTAGCCATACTTAATAATAGATGAATTTGGCAGAAACATGTAAAATTGTCCCCTCCTAAAAAGATTATTCCAGAAAAAATGGGCAATAATTAGGAGAGGTGTGCCAGCAGCGAGCAGAGACAAGGTTACTAGATACCTCAGGAATTTGCCAAGGGGAAACAATCTACAGATCATGAATGGTTCACCTGTCGTGAGCAGAGGCAAGTTTATTAGATACCTCAGGAATTTGATAAGGAGAAACGATTTACAGATCATGAATGGTTTGCCCGTCGCCTAAAGTGACTTGATCCCCTACTTCCAATCACAACTTGGAGAAGAAATAGGTACCATCCTCATCTGCCATCTAGGTGTAACTATGACTTTCCCTTATTCTTTACTGTTGAACGAAAAAGTTTTCATGAATGTGTTGTGACTTCTACTAAGAAGAAAGAAATAGAATGAATCGGTGAACTGGTGAAATGATGTCATGGCATGAATAGAGGGAATGTATTACTTTTACTTGATTGGACAGTCTGGATTAAAATCCCTCACCATCCATTGAACCCAACACCGTGTAAGGGAAATTGATCCACTCCATTTCTCAGTGATACAAAAACCATTGACTTAATACTTGCCTACAATAATTATTCTTACCTATATTTCTTGGAGAGAATGATAATTCCAGCCTCAGCAGAATCAAGGCCAACATAAGACCATCATTCCCATGTATAGAGACAAGTATGGAATTACTATTCACCCTACAAGACTATGTATGGAATTATCATTTCCCTATAGTGGATTAACTTCATGTCAAATTGAGAATAACTTATCCTGCACTCGATCACTAGGGCAACGACAGATAATAGAATTCAGGGGCGTCTTTGAAATGCATGAATAGTAAAAGGCCCGTAAAGAATTTCCTTTGACAAGTTTTGTTTGTTTATAGGATCAGTTCGTAACATTTTCCCCCAAGGATCCAAACATTGTGAGAATAATCAGTTGACGGAAATTAAGTGAAAATCACTTTGAATATAAAATTTTGAAAAGAAAACCAAATGGAAAAAACATAAGTTAGCAGTTTAATTGAAATCATAGTTAACTTCAACTAAAAACTTTCAAACCCTAACTATGAACGATCAAAGAAGGTTAACACAAGAACCAGTTACAGCTTCCGAAATTAATAAAATATCCAAGAGAACCAAATTCACGTATAAAGAAGATTGATTAAAGTTAGGTTTGTGGGAGTCACAGAACCAAAACTTCAAAAATACACAGTACAAAAGAAATTACCAAATAAAATACCACTGCGTGCGGATGATCCAACAACAAAGAAGGAGTCAGTTTTCCAGATTTTCCAGTATAGGTCGTTCTTCTTTCTTCTGGTTTCCCGTCGACAGTCGAGATTCTTTCTCTTCCCAACCTGAGCTCTGTGGTCTGGGTGGGAGACTCACCTTTTTTTTTTTTTTCCAAGTTTATTTAGTATTTTTTATAAATGTCTAAAAAATGAATTTAATGATTCATAATTTTTTTATAAATATTAATTTAGATACTTATAAATATGACAAATATAATTATAAAACAAGTATAGTCTACATTCGATAATTTGTAAGAAATAATCTCATGTCTGCAATTATTTTAAAACGATATTTTCAACTCATATTTTAATAAAATTATTATTAGGCTTATGATAAAAATGAAAAGATATTAATTAATATATTAATAACCGCAATGCAAAATCATACAACCAATTACATGTACTTAATTAATGCATGAACATTATTTAGAAGGCTCAAATGCCATAACTTCCAAACACGTCAAGTTGTCGAAAATATTAGGTTTAAGTGTTTCTTTTCAAATAATAAATATAGTTCATACTTCCTAAGGCATCTAGAGCTCATGAAAATGAAGCGTCAGTCCAACAAAGCCTCGAAGATGAAGCATCAGACCACTAGCTAGGGACATAAATAGAGCGTCCGACCAGCTACTAGACGCATGAACAATTCAATTAGCGAAAAAGACACAAAATGGGCAAGACTGGTGGGAGGCCTCAGTAGGGCCGAATTTCAAGGAACGTGCAACTTGTAAATGTTCAAGTCTCGTCTAAAAAAAGAAAAGACGTAGACACTATTGCATCAACAGTCAATCATCAATACAAACACAATTAATCTCAAATTTGAGACATTCAATTACAATTAGTATTCTTGAAAAGGACCTACAACCGCCTTGCAATTATGATACAACATAGGTTACTTTATTGCAATTTACATTATGTACTTTGTATTTGAAGTTAGAGTTAAGAAAAAGGACTAAGCCCATTTAATAGGAGATTTGAGCTTGCGATCCTACAATTGTAATTCAGGCTTATATTGGTTGGCTTTATCAGGCCAAGGGGAAGCCCATTTAAGGCTTTAAACTCGCCTATTATTTATTTATATATTTATTTATTTATTTTTGAATTAATTGATTCAAATAAGACTATTGGACTTGGATGCTTATGCCTGGACTGAAAAAAAATGAAGCCTGATCTGTCTTTACATTTTAGCCCATATCTAAGAAGAAGAAAATACTTTAAAAAAAAAATAGCTTAACCTAAATCCCCTAATTGTTTTAGTGTCGAGTTAGTCTTCATTCACTCTTCTTTCTCGATTCATTTTCACTTGTGCTCAATGCCTCAATCTCACTATCTTAGTTCGTCTTTGTCTCATTGTGACTTCGTCATTTATCAACACAAAGGTGTTTTACTTAGTGCGTCATCTACAATAGTTTCTCCCAAGCCTCATTGATAATGCTCCTCCATCCATAACAACTTCTCAGTGTCTCTCAGTCCCCGTCCTTGTCTGTCATCTTGGCATCTCCCAACCCAAGTCATCCTCATCTCAATATCTCCGCTCTCTAATCTAGTTCTTCTCATCGCATCTCAACCTCCCAATCTCAGATCCAAGCTTTTCCTTATTCTACCCTCTGTAACACACCAAAATTTTTTTTTTTAAATAATTTAACTCAACCATAGTTGGATTACAGCCACCCAACACATTTTTATATCAATAATTTCAATATAAAATATTTTATAATTGGCTTCAACTCACACACTATAACATTTCAGATAAATTTTTACCTCCTACATGCCATTAGGCTAAATCACATTTGTCCATCCTTATACTCCCAACAAGTAAACTAAATCACATTTGTCCATCCTTATACTCCCAACAAGTAAAATAAGCAATTTAGTCAATTTTCAACACAAGCCAGTTATTTGGCCTTATAATCATGCCATTTTAACCAATCCAAAGTAAACCAAATATTAAAATTACAGTCATCCAAATTGTACCAAAAATAAAAATAGTTTGAAAGGCATGATTACATTTATATATTCATATAATTGACAATAAACAAAAAGCCCTAATATTGGCAATATAACACATTATAAATCATAAATTAAATACCCAAAAGAGACAGTGGATCTATACCACTAAGCCTCTGGGACTCCTCCACATGTCACTCGTGGCTCTTTTCCTAAAAATTGTTAACCACATAATGAGACTCAAAAGTCCCAATAACCAAAGCCAATTTATGATAGTGTATACAAACAGTTAAGTGTGTGCTTACTAAGTGAGAATTAAAAATAATATAATTCCAACAAATATATGAAATATTACAATACACACAAACAACCATCCTTATATCCCTCCATTAACCTCGAGCCATAACCCTCACTCGGTGCTAAATTACCCGGCCAAAGGTAGATTAGCCCGAGCCCTTACAAGCCACCTATTGAGCTCCAATAGGGGCGTACCACGTGGCACATAAATACAACAATAATAGCAAGTCTCCCAACACCTCCCACAATAATTAAACAAATTCATAATAATATTGCACAATTATACAGTATTACAAAATTCATAATTTTCTCAATAATCACCCAATTAACATGAAGTAACACTAATCACAAATTAAAAACATGGTTACCTTGTGGCTTTTTCAATAAATTATTCCTTAAAATTTCTCTCTCACCACAATCTTCACCAGTAACACAATCTACAAATAACATATTATTTATAAATATTAGTTTTAATTTTTGAAACTAATAAAATAATTCTAATAATAGAATTAAAAATATAACATAATTCCTAATCTCAATCTTAATACAAATCTATAGTTAATACTATTAAGTAAAATTTTTAACTCCTCTTTTAATTATCAATAAACATTAATAATCTAAAAATCAACTTCTAAACTAATTTCTATTATCAAAATTTTCTTTTTATTTCATAAATTCGTACCTAAAATACCCAAAAATTAAAAATTGAGTCTCTAGCTTAGAATCATAATCCTATAATCATAATAATTCATTTCTCATCCCAAATAATCATCTAAACCTTAATAAATCAACATATATTTTCAGATCTAGTTTAGAATTTGATCCATAAGTCACAGATTCAAAGATCATCAATAAATTTATACTCTAGAACATTTATTATACTACTGACAACCTCAAAAATCATATTTATTCAACATAAATTCATCCCTCTTCCAGATCTTAAATTTTCTACCACTACAAACTCAGAAACCAAAGAAGAAGGATGACTAAGAAAAATTTTTAGAACACTTACTTAGTCTTGAAAAGCTTAAAATCACACCCTAAATATCCTATTAAAAACTCTTACCTTAAAACCCAACACCGGTGAACTTGGCTCACAGATGCTCTCTCTGCCTCAGCTCACGCACGAAAGAAGGGATGAAGAAATGAAGGAATAGGTGAGTTTTTATAAAAATTCAGTGGGTCCTACATCTTTTTTTATTATTATTTCTTCTTTTCTCTCTCTCCCTTTTTTTTATTTTATATTACTATTGATGCGGCGGCCGAAAGTGTTCACGTTTTCTTCCTTCTTTACTTTATCTTTCTCATACATTTTCTCTTTCTTTCTTTTTATAATAATAATAATAATTTAATAATATTTTTATTTATTTATTATTTTTTTAATTAATTAATTTTTTTAATTTTTTAATTTTTTAATTTTAATTTAGAATTATATCCTAAATTAGATTTAATAATTATTTTTTACTAATTTGCTTACCTCTAAATATTTTTTTAAAATTTCTATTAACCCAAATTAACTATTAAAATTTAAATTGAGATGTTACACCCTCAATATTAGATTCACATCCTTCATAGCACACACCTACACATTGTTGCTACTAATGCTTGATAATGCTACAAGTTTATTTAGTTGTTCGGTAATGATAAATGCAACATCTTGATTTTAATTTAAAAATTAAATTAAGGAGATTATGTATATTTGAGGATTTAATTGAGGTTAATTAATTATATATGCACTTAATTATGATTCAAATTGACTCTAGGACTATTAAGTAGGGTTGTTGGGGTCCAAAATGGATTGCAAGCCCAATAGTATAGGCCAGAGTGGAAGGCCACCTCTATACCATGCATCGCGATGGCTACATTTGCTGTAGCACACAGGCAAAATGTTAAATTAGTATCCAATTCAAAAAGTAAAATAGAAGTGAGAGTTTTTGGAGGTGTTGGGTGTGAAAACCTATTTCTCTACTAAGGTTTTGATGGAAGCATTGATTGTGCATAGACGCGGGGCTTTTAATAAATGAGGTAACTTTCCCTAATCTCATTTCTATATTATAAACATCTCTTTTAGCTAGTCTATGTTATAGGTTTAGCTAGGGTTTTGTTTTTAGGGACGCCCTAGCTATGGGTCTTAATTCTAATGTTGATTTGGGCATAAACAAGTGTTATTTAGGTGGTTTTGATAATGCTTGTTGAAATGGAGTGCTCAAATCTAAAACCTTAAACTAGTTGGGTGAATTGTTATGGTGATTTAAGGTTCTAGATTCTAAATAAGTGAGATATAAGTGTAATGGTAATGAAGATGTATTATGTTGATTTAAGGGATTAGATGTTTGGAACAGCATTGAGGTTATAGATTAATTAACCTAACCCTATGATTAGGGTGTGATTAGTGTTTAATCACAAATATTAATCATGTTTGGTATTATATATTGTATAGATTATGATAGTGATGGTGTTGGTGGAAATAAATCACTTATAAGGGGAAGTTAGCTACTTAAGAGCAAAGATAACCTATACTAATTTGCTATTATGTGTGCTTTGTAATTATTTGTGTGTATTTTTATGAAATTGAGCATTGTTTGAAAATTATTATATTTGAAAATGTATATTTAATGTTTGAAAATTCTTTTACCAAGTGGGATGATAAATATGTATATATGCATTTAGTATAAAATCAATGTTGTTTAGAAGCACAATTAATTATTTAGAAGCTATCCTTGTTTGGAAAATATTGTACACATAACTTGCCTGGGTTTTGAAAGTTGTTTCAGGATTTTGTTGGTCAAAAATTGTTTAGTATCACATGATGCACCCTCATTTGATCAATGAGTGACTTGTCAAGGCTTAGGCTAGCTTACCTTTAGCCGAATGAATTAGTATCAAGTGTGGACTTCAGTCCAAAGAAAGGAGGATATAATGTTAGTAGTCATACATTTTTGTTTGAATTTGTTAGGATTGTTTGGATCATAACTTGTTTGAAAATTATTTTGCATGCTCCACTTAATAGTCATATGATTAGTTATATTTCATGCATTATGGGATCTTACTATTAGTTAGTGGAACCTTTATATATCATTTCTCATAGTTAACATTTTTATAAGGGAGAGTTAAGCCAGAGACACACTAGATGCATAGTTGTGGTATGTGGGACACTACTTTCTTTTGTTAGTCATCATTTGTTTATTAATGTATATTTTGCCAACTTAAAGATTTGACATTGTAAATGAGAATTTATGACTCTATATTTTAGATTGAATTTATATATGCTAGCCATGAGATTAGCTTTTGGCACTCATAGTCTCATTTTGATGTGATCTAAGTATTTGAAGTTATGTTTGGGAGATAAAATTGTGTTTTACTTTACATATAGAGCTTTCCATTATACTTGTGTTGGGTGGCTGTAATCCAACTAACGATTTTAAATATTTGTGTCTAATGTGAGCATTTAAATGAGTGGGTTTATGTGTATGTGTTATGTAATATTCCAAAATTTCAAATCGATTTGTTCCCAAAATAATTTAATCAACACAAAATACTACTTTTGAAATACTTATCATGATAAAAAAAGTATCTATCATGGTAAAAAGAATAAAAGATACTTTACAAACCCTACTATGATGGTAAAGAGTTTACCGTGGTAGTAAAGAGTTCACTTATTACTTTTAAACCCTACCATAGTTAAAAAAAAAATTCTACCATAATAATAAAGAATCAAGTTAACATTATAAATGTTTACCATAATTATAAGAATAATTTCCGAAGTCAACTACCATGGTAGAAAGAATTGAAGATAACAAAATAGGCTTACCATAATAATTTAGGAATATATTTAATTAATTAAAAGTGTACCAAAAGGATCATATTCAAATAAAGGTTTAAAATCCAAAATATTGATATAAAGCATAAGTGATCATGAAACATGATTCTTAGGGACAATATAGACCAAAACAAGTTTATGAAGGGTAAAAAAGTCAAATAAATAATTTCAAAAACTTAAAATATGACAAGCATATTTTTATAATTAGTGCGTCATTCGCCTTCGCCAACGCTAACCATACCACATCAAATGACATAAAGGAGGCCTTTTCCAGTAGGTTTATGTGTCATGGCGCACAGTACTGCCACAACAAGGTGACAAAATAAATAGTAAAATCAAACTTTAACAATGCATAACTTTTCACATAGAAGTTTAAATTGAGTGATTCAAGTGTCTATATGAAACTTATTACAAAATTTAATTGTTGGCTTTGGTTTGGTACAAAAATAACTCCAAATGAAGATTTTATTTACTAAATCCCATTATGAATCATCAAACAATATTTTCCAAACATTTAACCTCATAACACCAACCACAAAGCCAATGTTTATGTATGAACCATTTGACTACATCACATACATACCAAATGACATTTTCAATCCACCCATGTGCTTATACACATAAAAATTACTATAGTTGGATTATAACCACTCAACATAATTTATATAAAAATCAATATGTAAGCTTGCCATAACATGTTTGAGTTACTCAAATTATGCCTTTGAATACTGGATTATATCAAAATAAGGCCATGAGTATTAAAAATTTATCTCATGCCAACATTAGACAGGTTTACTTTAAGGTTAAGAGTTTACATGCTCAATTATAAAAGAAATGCCATAGGCTAGAAAAATAAACATTAATTCAAACAAATGAGGCCTAACAAAAAGAAGGTAATCATAAATCAACACTATGCCTTTAGTGCTTATCTAGCTAGACCATTCCATGAAAAATGTTAATAATGGAGAATGAGACATAAAAGTCTTAGTAACTAATACTAATATGTCATAATACATGCAATACAACTAATCATGTGATTGCTAAGTAGCACATCTAAAATAATTTCCAAACAATTATTCCAAACAAGTTCTAAGCAGATCTAAACAAAAATAAATGACTACCAACCTTATATCTCCTTTCTCTGGACCGAAGTCTACACTTGATACTAACTCACCCAGTCAAAGGTAAGCTAGTCGAAGTCTTGACAAACCACTCTTTGATCAAATGAGGGGCATATCTCTGGGCACCAAATAATTTCCAAATAATAAATTCCCCAAACAACTTCCGAAACTTTAAATAGTTTTCGCTATTGTTAAATGGTTTTTGCTATTGTTGGAAAGAAACAAGTAATTTAATTTAATATTCGATCAAAATAATATTTTCTCACATGAATTTCATTTGAAAATATTTTTTGTCCATATCAATGAAAAATGATCAACTTCTGTTTAGGTGTCAGCTAAATAGCCAACATTTAAGAAATTTAATAGATTGATTACTTTCACACCAACTCTAATAACGTTATAAGTATTTATATCCTTTTTCTCACTTTAAGATATTTGGTCCTCCTGACTGATCATTTTATGAATATTTTTGCCCCTTTTTCAAAAAAAAAAAATAAAAGAAGTAGTATGAATTGGAGTGAGAGGGCCACTATTACTTTTATACTAATTAGATTGTGAACTTGTGATATGTATAGAATTTGAAACAAATTGCTGGCAAAAAAAAAAAAATTGAAACAAATTACATAATTCATTTATCAACGCCGCAAGTAATTTTTTTTTTTGAAGTTTTATAATTTATAAACAAATACACCGATGATGATGATGGTTGTATTAACCAGACTTCTAAATGTCATCAAACCCAGACTTCTAAATATTAAAACTAACTGAATCTGATCACATGTATACCATAATTTTATAGTGATGAGTGTGTAACTTGTGCATAAAGTTATCATTGTATCCGTTGAAAATTTAAAGAATAGCAATGTATTCATATTATTACTAGATCAAAATATTGGTCAACATATGTGTACAAGCAGAAGGGATTATAATTGTTCAAGCATAATATTTTGAGTTTAAGTTTATATGAATAAAAAAAATATCTTTAGAAAATATATTCTTATTAAATTTGATGATGCTTGAATCCGACAATCATTTAGCTTAAAAAACAATTACTAGATCATAATGTTGCTGTCACCTTTACTCTTGAAAAATATATAGATTTTCCATCTAAATTAAAAAAAAATTTAAGTTGTAAAAATATATATCTATATATATGTATATTTAAAATTTACATTATCCATTACTTTGAATGTTTGTGTTTGAGATCGGCTGCTAGTCACCTTCCCTCTGCCTAAATACTCGTAAAACGGATGAAGTTGAAAAGAAGGATACGGTCAAACTGTCAAAATTAGGGACCAAACACCGAAACCATCAACTTCTCCATGCTTTGCCCCCAACGGGTAGGGGTAGAGGGAGAAACAAATAAAGAGCACTGTGTTTCTTTCTTCTCCGAGAAACACTCCTCTTTTTCTTCGTGCTCAATCCCCTCTCATTCTCTGTTTTTCTTTATTTATTCTCTCTCTTTTTCTGTGATCACATGCTTATTTATCCAATCTCGCAGATACCCATTTTTTTTTTAATAATACAGATCCCAAGGTTTCTCATTTTCTTCTCTTAGCTTGAATTCTTCATTGGGTCATTCAAATTAGTTGTATTGTCCACAAAGAAAGAGTGTATAGTTCAATCTGTCCGTCATTTCTCGTTCTTCTTTTGCGCATTGAATCCAAGCAAATTCTCTATGTCTCGTATTTTCTCGAGATGGTGGAAGCTGAAGGAAATGGCGATTCTTCCTTTTGGAGACACAGGGTTGGCTGTTTCAGTACGGACTGGGAATAACTGGAAGAGGTGCAATTTCAGGTTCAATCAGGTGTGTCCAATCTCGACCCACTTGAATTGCCTCCCAATTGCCGTTCGTAGACGTCGGGAATCGCATATCGGAGTTCAGGAGAGGTATAAGTGGGACCAAAGTGGCTCCGATGACACTCACAATCCGACTTCACAGACCCGCAAGATTCGGGCCGATACTAACTGCCCACGCTGCGCCAAGCACATGGCCATCCTGTTCTCTAATCACCATTTCCCCGTTTCTTCTGGTTCCGATTCCGATTCTAACCCTCGGGCTTCTCTTCAAGGAGAAGGGGGTTATCAGGCTGTAAACATTTGTCCTAGCTGTGGAACTGCCTATTATTTTCGACCTTATAGCATTGCTCCTCTTCAGGGTTCCTTTATAGAGATAGGGAAGGTGACTAACAGTAATGTTAATAATACCACTAATAGAACGTCAAAGAGAACTCATAGCAAAGATAATATTCATGATGGAGGCTCTGGAGTTGAAGATTATGATCATAAAAGTAATAGCAGTGATAAGCTTAGAGTGACATTCTGGGACACTTCAAGATCGCATAATGGTGAAAATGGGGGGGAACCACCAGAAAGCTGGCCTCCCCCGCTACCAGGTTTATCTAATGGGAATGGGTTGACGGCGCATACTCCACCAGCCCCGCCGTTTGCATCAGGGCTGAATGCCATTCGAACTTCAGGGGCACGGCTAGGTGGCAGAAGCGGGGCTAATAAATTGAAGACTGTTTGGGGGGGCTCCAATTTGGGCAAGGAGTTGCCCACCCCGAAGGAGATCTGCGAAGGTCTTGACAAGTTTGTTATTGGCCAGGACAGAGCTAAAAAGGTATGTTAACCTCAAATTTTATTAAGAACAATGCCCCCTATTTTATCTAGTTTACGTTAATGCTTATTCAGTACACTAACAATATTTAAGCAGTTTATTATTCCTAGCCTAATAAGACATAAACAATAGTGTATCAGTGCTCCTCTAGTTTTATCTTAGTAATCTCAGCAAATGCACTGTTCCAAATTATGGGCTAGGATGATCTCACAGTTGCTCCGTGTTCGCATTCAAGGTGCTTTCTGTAGCTGTTTATAACCACTATAAAAGAATATACCATGCCTCTCAGCCGACAGGGTTAGTTCTTGCACTGTGTGTTTTATTTTCCTATGTACGTTAATGGTAATACAATTGATCCTCCTGAGTTTCTTATTTCCCCTTCTTTATAATTCTTAGTTGAGGAGGTATTTATTTGCTATGACTGAAATGGTGGATTTTATTACTAGGTCAGGGGCAGAGTCAGGAACTTCAGAAGCATTGGATGTTGATCAAAATGTGGAGCTAGAAAAGAGTAACGTTCTATTGATGGGTCCAACTGGATCAGGTACAGTTTGCAATATGGCTACCTTTTTGTTGTACTCGATAAATGAGAAACAGTTATATCCACATGGTTAAAATGCTATTTGGTATAAGGCATCTGGAATTACATGATTGCCTTGCTTATTTGAATTTTTGACAAATAGGGAAGACCTTGCTTGCAAAGACACTAGCTCGTTTCGTGAATGTTCCATTTGTCATTGCTGATGCAACAACCTTAACACAGGCAAGTATGCTAGAATTTGGCAGAGCAAGAGTTAAATGTAACCAAGTGAGATCATGCTGATATCTTCTTCTGCCAAACATTTGAATTTCATCTCATATATATTAGATGAACTATTGTTGTCTTCATGCTTCCTTCGTTCAAGTTTTGTATACAACTGAAAATCTAAGCACTTGACAATAGATTCCATGGCTGCTCAAGATTTTGTTGCTCAAGGAATATAGTTTTGGTGTTATTGACAAAAGAAGAAATTGGTTTGCAGGCCGGTTATGTTGGAGAAGATGTTGAATCAATCCTGCATAAACTACTTGCGGTATATGACTTCTTTCTGCTGACATCATGTTCCTGTAATAAAATTTCAAGTCTTTCTTTTCTAGGAATGTGCCTGTTGATGGCTTTTGCGACCTTATGTAGATGCTTTGATGAAATCTGAAAAGGCCATTGTGAATCCCTATTAGCTCAAAGAGAAGAAAAATTTAGCTTGTGCCTTCGATTCCTTTGTGCTCACACAGTGTAATGTATCTATTTACTTGTGCAGTCAATTCATGAGTTGGAAAAAAGCCTGTTTTTGTTGACTCATTATTCTTGGAGGATGTGTTTGCATAGTAATACTTCAGGGTTGATGTTCTTGGACATGATCCGGAAAATTTTGTTAGAATTTGTGGAGTGGCAAATAGTGACATGAAATCTGATCAATGTTTTTTTTTCTTTTTTTTTGCCTGGTGATATTCTTTTGTCTCAGCTATATTATTTACTCTATGCTCCTTCAATAACCTAAATCACAAAGAAACTGCTGCTTTTATAAGATCTTCATTTATCTTGCTTTCCAGGTATCATAATCTGGACTGTGTCTATTGCTCGTAACTCTTTTGTTGTCTGTCTCTTTTGTATTCAGGAAGTTAATCATTTAATTAATACCTAAATTTCTTAAGAAATATAAGGTTTGGGTGTCCTGCTATTCCTGTTCCCTGATGGCTTTATTTACATGCTTTAGTAGTTTGCAGACACAATCAATTTTTTTTATCAATTGTTGAATGACTTAAATATATATTGTAGATTGTTTTGTAAACAATAGGTTGATGAGGGTTTGTCCTCGGCACTAAAATATCCTCTTTTGACTTGTTTTGTGGGCATTGGTAGCAAAAAAGGTGGCAAGACTTGTGGGGATTTGCGATGTTCATTTAATTTGGGGTCTCTGGATTATGTAGAATGTTAGAAATCCTTGAAATTTTTTTCCTTGATGACCCGAATATTGACTTTTTATTTTCTTGCCGGTTTGTTTTATTAATCTTCTGTGCTTTAATCATGTTCTTTTCTACTAAGAATGTCTACTTTTGTTTCCAATCTTTAGCGACTGAGGTACTTTCTTTGATTATAGCTTCTCTACGTATATTTAGATTTTATTTTGTTTTATTTGCTGTTTGCTTTCCGGAAGATTGCATCAAATTTTCTCCTTTTGTGCTTATCATTGTATTCTCAAATAAATATCATGTGTTCATCAATCTTGCTGCACAGGCAGCAGAGTTCAATGTTCAAGCAGCTCAACAAGGGATAGTTTACATTGACGAAGTTGACAAGATAACTAAGAAGGTATCTTTTCACATAATTGAAAGGTTCATGATTGTACATCCATTCTATCTTTCTAAATTTATGAGCAATATTACAGGCTGAGAGCTTAAATATCAGCCGGGATGTTTCAGGCGAGGGTGTTCAACAGGCTTTGTTAAAAATGCTGGAAGGAACTGTGAGTAAAACAATTCCATACTTGTTGTTGATTGGTTTATCTACTCTTTAACTGAAATCTGCTTCATGTTGTTATATGCTCCTTTGCATATTCTTAGCAAACCGTAGGTCTTTATCACCACCACCAGCATTTGAAAGTCACTTCTTGTATATACTGTAACTAAATACAACTGTCTGGCATGCAGTTTGTTATCATAGGATCTGATGGCAATTTGAGCTTAATAGCATGTATTCTTGTTGGTTCTTAGGTTCAAAGGATTCTTTACATGCGTTAATTAGTTGCAGGATGCTGCTATCTTGTACAAGTCTCAGGCATTGAGAACTGTGGAGTGAACTTAAAAAAGCAATTAGGAGAGTTATTTGACAGGATGGTAATAGTCCGGCTTCTTCTGCCCCTTGGACTTGAAAACGAAGTCTTCTTGCTCCAGAAGTAAATAAACGGTGCTCTTGCTATTTTGTATGCTTGAGTAACACAAGCTAATTCCAGTCTCTCATCTTTGGCTATCTTGCCTCCCAAGAATTCCTCCAATATTAAACTTCAGTCCAGGCAAAGAATTCAGTCTTGATTTTCTAAGGAAATTATGCTTGAATTTCACTAATCTGCCCCTTAAAAAAATCCCTAGACATTTCATGTCCAAAATAGTAACTGTGTGTGTGAAAAATGATGAGTGAATTGTAAATTATTTGAGAATGACTTTTGCTACTATAACTTTCCCAACCATGATTTTTCTTTTTATTTCTAAGAATTTGACCTTGAAATAAGAAATTTTATTGATACTAGGTATCAAACAAAAAAAAAAAAACATATTCAATTAAATAGAAATGGATACAGAAATAGTGTATTCCATCGTTTTTATGGTTACTTCTTAAATAGCGAGGTCCTCTCTATACACTGGAGCCTCTTCTCTCATTTAATCAATGTTATTGTTAACTCATACATTTCACACTCCTTGGTTTTACCCATGAAATAGCTAGTGAAAAGCCTTTCAATGTGAAATAATGAAATAGACTCCTTGGTTAATACTTGCAATGTGGTTCGAAGTTCTGGCATTCTTAGATCTTAAGCTTGATTTCTTGAAGATTTTATCAGCCAAAACCCCCCCAGTGGACGCTTGAATATCTTTTTGTGGTTTTTTTTTTTGGTAGACTTTATTTTAAGATTATATGTCTGTTTCTGTTCTTAACATTTTCAGTTTCCTACTTTAGATTATTTGTGCTAAATGTTTATTAAAAGCTAATTTTTGTATCATTGTTGGTATCAATTTAATCATAGCCCAAACATTGAATAATAATTGTTTAGATTACAAGGGTGGGGACGGGGTGACCAGGAGAGGCCATGGCCACCCCTAACTTTTTAATTTTTTTTTTCTTAGTAAAATGTGGGTATTATATAATTTCGATCTCTTAAGTTGGCACATTATAGAAATCTTGAGATGTTAGAATTCTCATTTCAATTGTATATATAGTTTTTTATAGATGTATGGTGCAACTGTTTCATTAACTTGGAGATATATAGTTGTCATAGGATTTACTTATTTTAAACAAGATAATGCTACACATGCTCTTAAAGCATTGATATCATTTGATTTTGCTTTCATTTTATATTTGATGAAAGAAATTATGATAATTATTACTAACAAATTTTGTCAAGCATTACAACAAAAATTCCAAAATATATTGAATGCGATGTGCTTGATATCTATAATAAAATCACTTATCTAAATGCTAAGAGGTTATGTTTGATCTCATTAATGTGCTGATGTATTTATTTACTACGATTATCAATTGAAAAAAAATTAAATAGTAAATTCAATAAGCAAGGAAGAGAGTTTTTTAGATTGAATAGAACTTTAGATCCCAATGATACATTTAAACCATTCGATACTTGTAAAGAAGATGAAAGTTTTACGAATTTAATGATTTTTATGTCATGAAAAATCAATGAGCGAAACTTAAAAAAAGGTATATATTTATTTTTGTTATATATTTATAAAATTGAATATAAATATATATGATGAAATATTTATGTTATGTTAGTGCGATATATATATATATATATATAACTTTCTTTCAATTATCATATTTGCTTTGTCATCTTGAATTTTCAACCCACCTAATAAAAATTTCTGGCTCCACCCCTGTATAGATAGTAAGTGTTCCAGAGAAAGGAGCAAGGAAGCATCCAAGGGGTGACAACATACAGGTATGTTATTAGAATACCTTTGATTCATTCATTTCATGCTTGAACCAGGATCTCGTTAGAGGATGAGGATGTTTCTCACTCATACCTTATTTAAAAAGGACAGTGCAATTGCCTTATGGTTGACAGCGCTGGTGACAACTTTTATGGATGAGTGCTGAAATAGTTCCTTCTTCCTAGTGCTATTGTTTATATACGAAGAATAATTATTGATTTCCCTCTTATGGTCAATAAATACATGTCTTGGTAATTGAAAGAAAATTTTGATATTACATATTAAAGTGTATTTATAATAATGGTTGAAAAATCAAAAATTTTAAAAATACTGACACCCATTCAGTGAGTGTGTTGATCCATTCAATTTTATTTATTTTCACTGATAATGAGATAATGGAGAATTTTGAAATTTCAAATAATTACCCACTAAATAGAATTACAATTCTCCATCTATTAAGAAAATGAAGACATTATGGATAGTTTCAAAGCCTTTTAATAATTACCAACTAATTACAACATTCTAATTTGATGCTTAACTTATTGTTTTGTGGAAGACCAAGAGATCAGACTCCAAAAAACATGCACAGGCACCACTGCAAGCAGCTAAATCTCTCCCTTCTATTTTGTTAAAGCAGTACACATATAGTAACTGAAAGGGTATTGCTAACAAAATAAACTTCCCTACTTGGCCATTTCTTGCTCCAGTGAATTTCATACCTCACCCCAGTGTAACCAGTTTAGAGTTTCACTGGAACAGTTAGATCTGTAGGCTTTGGATGACTTAAGGATAGATAAAGGGAAAATAGAAAGCAAAATAAGTATTTGTTAAGCAACTCTTTTATCAAACTCAAGTATTTCTAAAGAGGTTGATAATCCAGTCTCCTTTCAAAAGCCCAAGGCAATATGTACTTGATTCTAGTAACATATATTTATTGCTTTGCTGAATTTTCTTACATTTTTATATATGCAGATTGACACAAAGGATATTCTTTTCATATGTGGTGGAGCATTCATAGATCTTGATAAAACCATTTCAGAGAGGTAAATCTTTCTTTGTTTTGTGTTATTGATGTTAGTTTTTATTTGGTTCTTCAAGAGTATTATTGTTTTTTCCCCCTTAAATGGGGCTCTAAATTTTAATACTTTATGAATTCAACTAGACGAGAGGATTCTTCTATTGGCTTCGGAGCACCAGTTCGTGCCAATATGAGAACCGGTGGAGTAACAGATGCTTCCGTAACATCATCTTTACTTGAGTCGGTGAGAATTGACCTTCTTATCTGAACAATAAAGATATTTCTGTATTGGCAATTGCCTTCTACAAATAATGGTACTTCAATGGTACTATCTACTTACTTCACCCTCTGGCCCCAAAGAAATTGTACAAGTAGCAATATGATTATTACGGTTGATAAACTTCTGCTTGAGTCTAATAGATGCATTAGCAATTTTCAGGTAGAAAGTTCTGATCTAATTGCATACGGTCTCATACCAGAGTTTATTGGACGATTTCCAATCTTAGTGAGCTTGTCAGCTTTAACTGAAGACCAACTTGTGCAGGTATTACTTCATTTTTATATCTTCTACTATCCTGTCTTATCCATTTATAATATCTTTTAACGTTTCGTGCTTATGTGATTAGTTCATCTAGCCATTTCTTGAGGCATTAGTTTATATGATATGGCTATCTCCTTTATATATCAATGCATTTAGGTTTTGGCTATCTTCAATTTGTTGTAAAAATTAATCCTTGTCTTTGCTAGAGTTTAGATAGTGAAATCTAAAAAGAAAGAAAAAAGTGGTCATCTCACACGTGCAAGCACATGGTTAATAGTTAATTTTTGATGGAAAAGGAAGAAAAATTTTGATAACGATGAAAAAGTCGAATAATGGATTCTAGAGGTATCTTTTATATTACTTTATATGTACAAAACAAGGTTGTGAATTTATAGATGCTGCAAGCAGTATGACATTTATGTTAGTTTAGACTTTTTTTCCAGTGGGGCTCTTAGATTTAAAGTGTATGATAGCGGAGGAATGAGTTCAAGTTCCGTATGTTTATGCTAAGATATCTCACGTAATGACACACAAATCTTGGTTTTTTCAGGTTCTCACAGAACCAAAAAATGCTCTTGGTAAGCAGTACAAGAAATTATTTGGCATGAATAATGTAAGCACATCTCTCTTCCCCCCTCCCCCCTACTCCCTAGTCCCTAAATCACTTCATCAACAGAGCCAGATAAGCTCAAACCAAATGAATATTTATTTCCTTTTAAACTTTTACCATTGGTATTGTACAATCCATATAGTCGATTCCATTTAGTGAGATAAAACTTGTTATTATTGTTTTGAACTTTTACTCGCAAGAATAAATGTACCAATTACTGTTACAGTCTCCCACTTCCCCAATTAAAGTATTTTCCTAAATTCCTATATCTTTCTTTCATGTTCTAAGCCATTGCTTAGCGTCAATCTTCAACCATTCTACCATTTGATATGAACTTGATTTTTAGAAACCTGATCACCTGATCGAAATTCACCTAGGATGGTTTGGTTTGTTATGTCTTCTGTTAAGTTACCTTGTCTGAACTGGTAACCCCCTGCCCTTCCCTTCCCTATGAGCTCAGCGCACTTGAGTGATTTGCATTTATTTATTCATCCACTCATTCGTTTTGGTTGTGAATAGTGAGTGGGATACGTTAATGATCTGAAATTCTACCTCTACTCTACAGGTAAAGCTACACTTTGTTGAGAAAGCGCTGAGACTTATTGCCAAGAAAGCAGTGGCCAAAAACACTGGCGCCAGGGGTTTAAGAGCCCTACTGGAAAGCATCCTTAATGAAGCCATGTTTGAAGTATGAAAGAGTTTATTGCTTTTATATAATACCTGGCTATCATCAAACGTCGAAGATGGTTATTTATCTTTATTCTTCATGGTTTTCTCATGTGTTCAACGCTTCTATGCACAAGGTTCCAGATGTTATGACAGGAGATAACCGGGTTGAAGCTGTTGTTGTTGATGAGGAATCTGTAGGACCAATTAATGCTCCTGGATGTGGTGGCAAAATTCTTCGTGGAGATGGTGCTTTGGAACGATACTTAGTTAAGCTGAGAGATTCAGTGGTATGATCGTGTATCTAATTATGTGCTGGCTTGTGCCCTATAAAGGATTATGTTGTATTGGTTTCTAGGCATCGCTTTAGAGTAAATTACTATCCCTTCCTTTGAAAGTTGACTTAATTACACTTCCTCTCCTTTATAGCCAAAGCAAACATTCATCTTACTGGAAACCGAAGAAAAATGCTAAAACTAATCTGGGTTTGACATTAAGGAAACTTTTTAGCTCTGTTTTCTAGTGGTCAATGAGCCGGTGCCACATGTTTGAACTGAAAATATCCTATAAAACTTTTGCATATGTTAATTCCCTTTTATTTGCAGTCAAACGGACATAATGGAAGATAGTGGTTAATGAGAGGAGTTTGGTCGAAAGTGGTAACAAATCATTGACCCCCAAAAATGGAGCTGAAAGGAACTCTGAAAATCTAGTTGGATCTATTTGTAGCAGATGTCTCTTTGTACTGTCTAAAAGGAAGTTCAAATACATTTTCATAATGAAAAGGAAGACGATGTAATTCTGTCATATTTCCTTGTGGATATGATTTACTTCGGTTTGAGGAGCAATAACATACGAGTCATGAGTATTTTGAAGATTATTAGTTGATCCAATTGGCTTTGTTATTTTTGTAGGTTAAAGGCCAGATAGGTGAATCAGAGTTACAGGAAGGGGGATCAGAGCTTTCATCTAGAGCCATCAGCATATAATATTTCGTATTGTTAAGGTGTATAATTTATCCTTGTAATTTTTATTTGTAAAATTCTCATTCAAAAGGTGTTTTGATCATTTCTTGTATTTTACATGGCTTCTTTTTGAAGTCCATTGGACCAAACACGTTTAGACGCTCAGAATAATAAAAGAAAAGGGGAAGGGTATATATAGCATTGCTAATTTAGGGGCACATCATGGAAATTTTTCATGTGGTTTTTCTATTGATGCTGAGACACGAGAAAATCCAATAATATACAATTTTTTCAATGACTTCTATCCAAATTTTATTTTATTTTTGCATATTGCACCTGGTATTGTGGGCCAATTTGACTCCAACTCTCTCATCGAGTATTTAATGTGAATGCGATTTCAGTACTCGGTTGCATTTTCTTCTCCTCTTTTTCTCCTTTGTTTACATATTTTAGAACTGCAAGCATTCCTTGCAATTGTATCTTTTAAACGTCTTGTTCACCAAAACGGATTTAGACCAAAGATCTTCAATGTTTGTCAGCATGCATCAAAGGTTATGACAGTACATGTCATCTTGCTCAAATTTTAAAAGGATGTGACTAGGCCCAAGAAAAGAGCTCTTTAACCCTAATCCTATGGTATCCAAAGGACCAGGGGCTTTTGTTTTGTCACCTGAATGAAAGGCTTGTTGTCTTGTCAATTGAAAAAAAAATAAAACAGAAGGAAACTCTCAAGTTTTAAGATAAACATTAATAATAAATAGAAAGAGTTGTCATGAGAATATTTTATATTTCATATATTGATTGTGGAGCAATAAAAAAGGATTGTGTTTGCCTTGTGCTAATCAAAGGGGACCTTAAACGTAAAACACTGCAAGATTAAAAGTCACCATATCTCTAAATCCTTAATTTAAATAAACAGATAAAAAAATTTATTATACTCAAGTCACCTAAACTTTTAGCTAAAAAAAAAAACGATTGCTTATTGCCCACGCTTCATAAACCATACCATCTTCTTGTAATCCCTCAATTTTTTTTTAAAAAATATTAACTCGAAAGTCTGAAATTTAAAAAAAAAGGGGGGGGGATTTGATCCACTCATCAAAAAATTTCAAAAAAGGTAGGGATAATCTTATTTGCCACTAGACTTGGAGATGAGACTCTGTGCTTCTGAGACACTTGGAAGTGCAGGAATGGCTCCTTTCTGTGTTGTACAGAGTGCTGCGCAAGCATTTGCAAATTTCAGAGCCTCTTTCAGCTTTGGTTCATCCTGCAACACAGTGTGTTCAATGAAATATCAGGAACACAGTAAATCTAACGCTGGATCTTGCAATTAGAGAGAGAGAGAGAGGGAAGAAAACAATACATCAGATATGTAGGGGTTGTTTGCCACAGAAACAAGAAGTGAACCAACAAAAGAATCTCCAGCACCAGTTGTGTCCACTGTATTCACTTTGAACCCTGGAACCTTGCCTTTGAATTTCTGTATTCAAACAATATGATTCATGCAAACATATATATGTGGAGTTTAGATCACTTGTGCAGTTACATAAAAGATTTATGTGTAGACTAGGTTTATCATAAGTAGATACAAGCGAGTCTCAGGGTATATCTGATGTGATTATGTGACTTTGATGGGACCAGACATTACTCAATTTTTTGTGCAAAACTCTATCCTTATTGGGTTTACCTGAGTTTTTTTTTTTTTAACCATCTTTTATCTTATACTATCCATTAGTTAGTCTATATTATAAGCCTTTAATAAAGAGTAACCTCATATCTATCCATTGCTTTCACTATTTTGGGAGAGATATTTTCTACTATCGGTGGAGCCTACTTCTTGTACTTACAAAAAAAAAAGTAACTTTATACCTACAAGATTCAAATTTGGAAATGTTACTTAAGAAATATCAAGTTCTTTCCTTTAAATTAATCGTTATAAGTGAGAATCTCTTACTTACAGATTTTTTTTTGTGATGAGACAGAAAAAAATAGAATCATTCAATCATAAAAGTTCTTTGAAATTTGAATGGGACCATGAGTCAATGGTGACAGAATTCATTCTCCTCAAGAAAATGTGTATAAATTAATTCAACAAAACAAAAGGGAATAGTATAGTACCTTGGTGAAGTATCTGCAACCCTTTTCTCCATCAGTGACAATAAGTAGCTTCAACTTATCATGCCACAGGGACAGAACAACATCTTCCTTTTCAGGATCTCCTTGGGTAAGAAAGTTCACTTCATCATCACTTAACTATACAGATAATGATAAATCACGCTGAGATTTGCAGACATAAGCCAAATTTGAAGACTAATCATATAACAAGAAGTTTCATACCTTGATGAAGTCAGCTTCAGACCAAATGCTCTTAATGCCAGACCTAGCAGCTTCAGCAGAAGGCCATAAAGGAAGCCTCACATTAGGGTCATAGGAAAGCAAAGCTCCAGCTTCTCTTGCAGCTTTCATGGCTGCCATGTGAGCTGATCTGCAAGGCTCAGAGATGAGACTGATAGAGCCATAATGGAATATCTTGGCCTTCTTGATCATGTCCATCTTCAACTCAGAATCCTTGAGAAGCATGTCTGCACTGGGATTTCTGTAGAACATGAACTCTCTCTCTCCGTCACTCCTCAAAGTCACAAAAGCTAATGCAGTTCTTGCATCTGCATCAAAACAAACTCCATCTGTATTCACACCATTTTTCTTTAGTATATCTGCTAGCATCCTCCCAAATTCATCATCTCCCACCTGTTTCACTTCATGTTGCAGTTATTATTGTTCTAAAACTGAACCATACTATCTGTCTGATATTTTGGAGTATGGGGAGTCCGACCGAACCAAACCGAAAGTAACCGATTAAAACCAAGTACAAATGAGGTCTACTTCAGTTTTTACCCACACTCATCCAATCAGCCCAGAATTCAAAAACCATAAGCCCAAAATCAAAATAGGTTTTTAAATTATTTCATTGCTTCCTTCTCCTTCAACAAAAACGGAGTTGACGATGCTAATTATGGTTAAAAAAAAATCTTGAAATATTTTTTTCTCATTTGTCCTTGAGAGATTTTTTAAATTAATGGAGCCAACTAATAATTAAAAATTATCAACAAGTATGCCTTATATAAATTCCAGAAAAAAATATTTAAAAATAAAACAAATCATTCAAACTTGATTCACACTTGAACCAAACCAATTCAGTAAAAACTGAATAGTTCCCAAGTGCAGTTGAACCAATTGTTTTGATTTGGTTTTTGTACAAAAAGCCTGACATATGTAACCACACACCAACACTACACAAAAGCACACAAGCCCACAGGCACTACCTAATAATGATAATTCCACTAGTCACTTGGGGATAGAATTCACATCCTCTTTTTTTTTTTTTTCAAAGAGACGCCAAATGCCACTGAGCTAACAGGTTCTTGAGAAACATATAAACACTTTGATTTTAGAGAGATAAAGTTATTCAAACATAATTTTGTCTAAAACCTTAAAGGGCACCTAATTCTTCTTTCTATTCATCCAACCACCAATCTTCCTATTGATGCATAGATCAAAGACAAAAACGGCATGAAACAAGGTTGATCATGTATCCTTCATATGACATGGTTGGTCCCATTCAGTATAAAAGGGGGAAGAGATTCTTTTTCTTTATCTCTCTTTTTTCATGATCACTATCATGTTATCATGTCACACTCTCTTATGACATATCAATTTAATAAGAGCATATATATGATGATGATGATGACAGAGGGATGTTTGGAGAGATTATGGAGTGACCTTGCCGATGAAGGCCGAATTACCACCAAGTTTGGCAATGGCACAAGCCACGTTGGCAGGGGCCCCACCAGGGGCTTTGATGAAGCCTTGAGACTCAGCCAATGAAACTCCAGATGTCATAGGAACAAAGTCTATCAGCATCTCACCGAATGAGATCACTTGTGAAGCCATATCTGGCTCTGTTTCCGCCTCTGGTTTTGAGTTTTCTGTTTATCAAATTACAATGTTAGTGTTTAAAGATCAAGGTTGGGGTTGAGTTCTCTGATTTCTTCAACCCAGAATTATAGATATGCGGTTATAGACTCAGTCTTTGAAACATTAATTCTTAAGCTTTAAAATTATAATCAGTTTTGTTTTAAAGATTTATATGATTGTATCAAAAATAATTAAAAAATATTAACTAATTGTATAAAAAAATATTTATATGATTAGCTGATTCTATTTAATAAGTATATTAAAAAATATTTAAAAATTTTAGTATAAAAAAAAGTTTGTTACGAAATAATGCCTATTACAGAAAGAGAAAAGAAAATTGACCACACAAAAATAAAAAGTAATCGTGGTATTTTAATTTGGTTTGGTTTTACTTTATCTTTTTTCGTTTGTGGGAGTTGAAATTCAAACGCTATTTTTGAGATCGCATTTGGACTTCTCTTCCCTTATCCTAAAATTCCAGTTTAAATATAAAGATATTATTTTTCTTGAAAAAATTTTTTATGAAAACATGCTACGAGGGATGAATTTTTTAAATTAACGATTGTCCTATAAAAATATGAACTTTTAACTGCTATGTACATCTTATCCCACAAAGTCTTCCCTATGGTGATATTAAGAATAGACTTAAGATCATATGGATTGAGATGAAAATTAGAAAAAAAAAAAAAGTAAAGCATAGAATGCTTTCCTTTTAATAATTTGTCAAAATTTAGTTCTTTAAAGACCCATGAATATACATCCAGATTAATCCATGTGTCTTACCTAAACTAAACTCTTGCTGCTGGTGCTATTATTATTATTATTATAATAATAAATTTTTTTATTATTATTATTCTATTAATTTATAATATCTTTTTTTTTTTTTGGGAATTCAAAGGCAAGCCAAAGATTGTGTGCACAAAAAGTCTGCATCAAATAAACATTTGATTCATTTATAATATCTTGTCTTGTTTTATCTTAATCCATTGCAGAGGAGGTGGAAGTTGTGGGGCCCACGTAAAAAATAAATACATAAAAGTAACAATTTTTTATTAAAATAATTTTTAATACATTTTTGTTAACACAAGGCAAAATATATTAAAGGAAAATGAAAAAGTAAAAACATAAAAGGGGCCGGAGACAGACAACCTAAAAACAAACGCACTAAAACAACTAAAATATAGAGACACCAAGCCCAAAATACATGAGAAACCAAAAAAACAAAAAACAGACTCTGCAAACACACAAAAAAAAAAAAACGAAAAATCCTTTCAGGTCATCATGTAGAGACATAATCATTTTTACATAGAACAGGTAAAAAAACATGTAGGAAAATAAGGTGTCATTTATAGATTAATACGCACATTGATAAGAAATTCTGAAATTAAACAAGTTTATTTTTATAAAAAATTTTAAACTTGAATACACCGTTGTTTATATATATATATATATATATATTATATGTATACCGGTGGCGGTGATAAATTTTGAAAAAAAAAATACATTGTTTGAGACTTAAGTATTAATATGCATGGGAGTAATAATTTATTAAATATGCATGCAGATTAATTCATATGTCTTATCTAAACTATTTTTATTATTATTCCGTTCATTATAACATCTTAATGTTATATTAATCTTATCTTATATTTATCTTTATCTTAATTAATTAATTAATTTTTTATTTATTGTATTGCGTCAAAATGATACTGTATTTTTTTCATTTTCTTATTTAAAAACTTTATATAGTTCGAAGAGTTTGAAGCATTCAAAAGATGTGAAAGTTGTTAGGCCAAAATAGTAAAAAAAAAAAAAAAAGGTTTTGGAGCCCACATAAAAAGTAAAGCATAGAAATTGAGATTATAATGAGTTTAATTTTTAAAAAATTATTATTTTTTAAATAAAAATTCTAAAAATTCAATGGACTTTATCCGAATTTTTTGTAATCAATTTTTAATTTTATTATAGATTCCACACATGCTATTTCACTCGTATAGGTTCTAAAATCTTCTGCCTCCCTTGTTTAATGGGAGTTTTATATTTTTTATCATATGAAAATTATAAAAAAAAAAAACTAACTATGGTAACCAAATGACAAAAAAAAATTGTTGGAATATTTTCAAAACAAATAGATATCTTTTTAAATAATCATATTCTTATAAATTAAGAAATTTTTATGAGAAGTAATGTAAGGAGCTAATGTCATCAACAGAGGCATGCAAGACCCAAACTTTTAAAATAAATATTTAGTTTGTAAAACAATATTAGAAAATGAAAATTAAAATAATATTTTTATAAAAATAATCTAAATTTAAATATAATGGATTCAAAATTTAAAATTCAATGCATTTAAGTGAAATATTAAAGATCCAAACTTTTTAAACTCAAATATATTTTAATTTAAGTTTAATGGGTTCAAAACTATTAAAGCAATGGCAGTAAATTTTTAAAAGTTTCACCTACTTCTTGTAAATTTTTCAAAATTGAGTGGGAGCATTCACCCATCCCCATATATAGCTGCATTCGCCATTGGTTATTAATGTTATATCTCGCTAATTTCTAAATGCACTTTTAAATTTTTATAAAATTAAAAATTATCACTTAGTGAAAGGAATCAAGAAAGCTCTACATACTAAAAGAATGTTGCCTATCATGAAAAGTTATTATATATAAATAGCCCTTGGTTAATATTAAGGGTTGAAGTGCATTCTTCTCCTTTATTTTGAGTAGTGCTAGATATCATGTACTAATAGGTGGGACATTTTTCTCTTAAATTATTTTTGAAAGGAGCAAAAATCTCCTTCTATTAATGATCTATTAACTTCATCGTTTTCTACTAACATGGTGTGTCCTTTAATTTCAATTTGTCTTTGAACTTTTTTTCTAAAAATGCTAGACACCTTGAAGTTTCTTTCCTTTGAGAAGCATTGAGTACTTTATACTAATAAGTGAAGTATTTTTTTTAAATTATTTTTTAGATAAGTAAAAATCTCCCTCCATTAACGGATCACTAACAGAGGGAGATTTTTGCTTATCTGAAAAATAGCTTAGGATAAAAAATGTCCAATTTATTAGTACATAATGCCAACCACTCTTCAAAGGAAAGTATAAGAAAAAATACACTTTAACCCTAATGTAATATTAAATTATGTTGGTGAACCAACATAGGGTTACAACTTTTACATAAAAAATTTTATTACTTGAACAATATCACTTTATTATTTATAAATATTTATCATCATTACTTATTTCTTACATTAATTCCCAACTATTGTAATTCATTACCTCTCTTTGAATGCGTTGAAAATAAAATCAAATTAATATTTTATAAAAATTATTGTTGCTTAGTTTTGAGTCTTGGAAGTGCAATCTATACTTAAAGTTTTTTATTGCATCCAAAAAAAAAATCACGACTAACTCAATTTGCATCCAAAAATTGGAATATGTGGACGAATTAAGTCTAAAAAAAGTGTTGCCTTGTCTTAGAAGACATTATGTGCAACTGTTTTCCTCATCCCTACTTTTACTGAGACAGCAATTTCAGTCAACAAAAATGCACCAAACATTTTGCAGACTGCCAAAGAAAAAACTTGCGGGACCCACATAGATGTTAAGGAAATGGTTTAATACTTGTGCTACAATCATTGTAGAACTACTATATAAGTAACAATTTCTTATTAAAATAATTTTAGTACGTAGAGCGCATGTAATAACAAAATTTTGTTGTCTAACTTTTTAAGATATATGGGGCAACAAATTGTGTAGGCCCTTGAGAATTTGACACTAATCAGTTCTAGTGGTAGACATACCATCAGGTTTCTTTCATAAATCCTTTCACACAGTTGCCTTGATTATTATCCCTCGCTAATCCCCCACAAGTTGCTAGAACACACAATCTATAAGTGTCAAACTTCTTGACATCCATTAGGTTCATAATAAAAATCCACGATGAGAATTACCGGGAAAAAAAAAAAAAACACACACACACACACACACACACAATGAGATGAGTTGGAACCATTTTGCTGAATATTATCAAGTTTATTCCTGAACTCTCCATGGGAACGGTGAGTTAGCCATATCAACCACAGATCAAAAGCACAACAAAAGAAAACTCATTAAAATAATCTATTAGCAGCTAAAAGGGCACAAGCAATCAATCCACAAGGATAAAAATGAAACACTCCCTACAGGGCATTTATTCTGAAATGCCTAATGTGATTTCAGTTGAGAAAAGAGAAACAGAAAAGGAGGGAAAATACTGACCCTCCGTTAATCATCACAACGTGAATTCCAATTTACACAACAAATTTTAAAATAAAGAATCACAAATGACACAAGTAACTCATCAAAATGCAAAGTCCACAATACGGGGAAATGCATAATGATACCAAGACAGTAGCAGCATGAGCTGATTCAATCAATCTAACTAGCAGTTTCTTTTTTATGTTCCTTTAGGTACTCTCCCATCTCATTAAGCCAGAGGTCAGCAAATTCACAGTTTTTCCAAGCTTCAAACCATGGCCCTCCACGAGTATAGTGGATGGCCTTTGGAAACGTGGTTGGGTCATCCTGAACCACTCTGTTATGGCCCTCAAGAAAGTTCCACACAAATGGGATTGACCCAATTTCATGATCTTCAAGCCACTGAAACCTGTGAAGGAAAGCACCACTTTCTTTGTTCACAGTTTGAGGAGTGAGAACACTGTTCTTGGGATGCCCACAATTGTACAACACCATTGAAGACCAATTCTTTCTGGGATACACTGTTTGGACTGCTCCATCCATTTTCGTTGTCTCCTTTGGGGCGTAGTCATGTTGAACACACATTATGGCATACTTGTCATCAATCAAATCTCTCAGTTCCTTAATATCTGCCAAGTACAGGAAATCGCAATCCACAAACATTGCCCAGCCTTTGTAATTGGCCAAGCATGGAGTCAGGAATCTTGAGAAGGAAAACTCTGTGCTCTCAAATTGGCCTCTTTCACGCCAATACAGACCATTCTTTCTCAGATCTGACTGCTTGATTGGTATGATCTCAACAGGAATCGAAGATCTCTTCAAGATTGAATGACGACATACCTCAAACGCAATGTCCTCACGCGGATCATACCCCACGAAGATCCTGAAAGGCGTCTCCGAAGCTCCTCCGGCACAAGTACTCTGCGACTCTACTTTGCCATTACTCGAAGTCATCTCAGCACAAGGTAAATATGTATGAATGCCTATTGTTCAGAACCCAGAAAAGAACAAATCAATGCTTGATCTGGAAAAAAGATCAAAATGAAAAATCCCCAACTGCTTCATGACGAAATTACAGAAAACCAAGCGCCAAATATGATGCTGCCCTCCTTGACAGCTCGTAGTTGTTACAAAACGAGCTATCTTCCCTCCCATTAAACATGTCCCAATAAACACGAAGCAATGGAAACAAATCAAAGTAGAATAAAATGCAAGACATAAATTGAGATGAAGCAAGTACCAGAAACGTGATTGAGGATGCAGATCTTGAATCAGAAAATTGTCGGTGTGTTCCGTTTACTCCTGAAATGTCCTAGATAAAAGAGTCCAATGAATTCAACAGAAGGGAGATGAAGAGAGAGACCGAGAGAGAGAGAGAGAGAGAGAGAGAGAGAGAGAGAGAGGCTTAGCGAGAATTGAGCAATGTTGCAGAGAGGGAGGAAAGTGCCCCTTCCCAGCAAGGCGACAGCAGGCCGTTTGCGTGTGGTTTTATATATATGGCGAGTTATACATGAATAATATCTTATTATATTTATAAAAAAATTTATTTAAATAATTATAAACAATAGACTTTCACATATATATTTTATATTATAAAATTAAATCAAACAAAAAATTAAATATTTATTACATTTAAATTTATTATATTTATTAATGATACACTGTTATATATTAATAATAAATTAATTATAAAGTTTTAATAATAAATTTTTATATAATAATAATAAATTTTTTATATATTTATGTAAACTGATTATATTTTTAAATTTTTAAAAATTTAATCTATATTTTTTAAATAGCCGATGGGCAAATTTATCCTTTAAAATAATTGGTACTCTTATATTTTCTTAATTTTATTATTGAATTTATTTTATATAATTTTATTTAATTCAATAATCATGCACCTGGTCCTTTCATAACCCAACTCACTAAAATTTTTTTAATAAAAAACTTAAATTCCAATTAATTAGCGGCAATCATGACTTCAAGAGAACCACATGATTAAAATTTCCAGATACAAATATGCAGGCCTGAATTTGGGCTTTCAAACAATTGTAAATTGGGCTGTGGAACAATTAAACTCACTAAACAAGTAATATCTAAATATACATTATAATTAGTTTTAAAAATTTAATTTCAAAGCAAACAGTGAAATAGAAAAATTTAAACTGATACTCTCTCCAATCTTATTTATAAAACACCTTCTAAAAATAATTTTTAATTTAAAATATAGGACACCTTGTAATAATTAAATCACTATTTTTAATTTTATCCTTTTTTATTAACGTAAAAGTATTTAATGTAGTTATATTATTATTTAAAATTAAAAGAAAAAATAAAAGTAACTTTCACTTTTTTTTATAATATCAAGAAAAAATTAACTTTTTTTAAGATGCTTGAAATGACTAAAAGTGTTCTATAATAAAAATAGGAGGAAGTCATTGTTAAAAATAATAAATGTTGAGAACCTGTTTATTTTTAATTTTTAGGATTCTTAAAAGTTTTTTTATAAATCCATATGTTGTTTGGTTTGTTTCAAACCAAATAAGTAGTAGTTTGTACAAACGTAAGTAATATTTTAATTAAAAGGTTACTTTTTAAAACATTACAAACAGTTACTTGTCTTATTAGATAGATGAAAATTACTATTTCTTTTTCTTCAATGCCAAATGAAAGAGCTTGCAAACCTTTTACAATGTATTTATAGTTTACATGCTATGATTGAATGTGAGACTTCGGTATGTTTCCTAACACATGTATTGCAGACTCATACTTTTAAGTGCACAGATTCAGAGAGAATATTAAACTGAAATTAATATGAACACCACAAACTCCTCTTACACAAATCTAGCATCACATTGAACTAATGGAAGAAGACGACGATGGAGGAATGCCTTGTTGATTAGTGAAAACATTGTTGGGATCAATCAGAGTCTTGGCTTTAACCAGTCTGTCATAATTTCTCAAGAAGTAGCTTTCACCCCAAACTCTGGCTTGTTCCTCTGCTTCTTTTGTATTAATGGGTTCCACCATTACTCCAAGGTCAAAGTCCATGTAATTGATATATGCAGCTCTTGGAACGCATGAAACAAATGAAGTCATTGAATCATAGAACTCTCTTATCCACTCAGTATATTCACTACTTCTGTCATTATCTGCTTCTTTCCAATATATCAGGTACTGGATGGTGAAGAGATTGCCTTTTCTGTGAGGAAAAGCTATGGCTTCACTGCTTATATTGTGCATCATTCCTCCATAAGGGTCCAAAATGACATACCCTTTTGGCTCTTTCTCAAGTATGTTTAAAGCAGTTTCTATCCCAACCAGAGGAATAGGACTTTTAACAAAATCTGATTTGGCTTTGAAATATTCCTTTTCTTGCAGATACCTGTTCTTCAGGTCTGACACTATGGCTCCATTTGTTAGGCCAGAGAAAAAAACTACGGATTCAATCCAAGTCATTTCTTTGCAATCTTCTTCCTTAATGCGGAGTTCAGGAAAAACCTGGTTTATGACAGATCTAGCATTGTCCTTAGGACCTAGATAGAACCCTTTAAAAGTTGCAGATAAGCCTGCAGTTTTAGCTTCAGGCAAGCCTGCACCAACAAAGCAAGACAAGTAATAGTCATTTTCCAAATTTGGTGCTACATATTGCCATTTGTTAACTAGCTTCAGAACTTGATCTTTTGTGCCTGTTCTTGAGACTATGAAACTAGTTACAACTTCTGGCACTTTTAGTAATTTGATTTTCCAGGCATATATAATCCCCCAAACACCACCCCCACCTCCTCTGATAGCCCAAAACACATCTTCTCCCATTTCTTGTCTGTTAAGTAAATTCCCATCTGCATCTATGAGAAGTGCATCCACTACATTATCTGCTGCAAGGCCATATTTTCTTGATAAAAGCCCAAACCCACCTCCCCCAATATGCCCACCTACTCCCACGGTCGGGCATGACCCAGCTGAAAACCCGTGGGCCTTGCTGGCTCGAGAGATTTCATAGTAGGTCTCTCCCAGGGTGGCCCCACCTTCAACCCATGCCATCTCAGCCTCCATGTCCACATGAACATGGTTTAGGTTCATGAGGTCAATGATGACAAATGGAGCTCCACCATTGGCCACAGAGGATGTCCCTTCATAGCTATGTCCGCCACATCTCACTCTGATGTCTACAGAGGATTCTCTGCTGCACACCACACTGTTCCTCAGCTGCTCCAAGCTCTCTGGCAGAACAATGGCTATAGGCTTTGGGATGTCGGGCTGTGCAAAGCGAAGGTTCTGGATGGAGAAGTTGAGGATTCTGAAGTAGTCATTACTGTGTATAAAGGATTGGTCAGTGAATCTGGTGAAGTTGTTGATGTTATGGTGGGTCAAGCAAGATGTGAAGTGTGGGATTGCAGAGGATAAAGAAAGAGAAAGTGTCAGAGATAGCAAGAGGATGAAGGTTGGTGATGAGCTTCTCAGAGTGAAGAACATGGCTTGAGATTGTGAATGCATGGAAGAAGAAGATGATGATGATGATGATGAAGCAAGCAAGCAAGCTACTCTGAAATTTGGGCTAGTGAGGTTGGGTTTTATGGCTAGACAAAACGATGCAGAAACTTAAACACAGTGTAAATGCTAGGCCGGCCAAAGATTTAATATTGGAAACTTCTAAGATGATGAAATTGAACTTCTGTAATACCAAGGAATCATCAATATTCCATAAAAGATGACAAATTTTTATTGTTGTTATGTGCACATGAATTAAAATAAAAAGAAGTGTATGTAAAGTGGTAAAGAGGAGCATATTGTCTTTGTAAAATTTATTATTTTAGATTGATCAATGACTTGCTTTGAAATAAAATGAGATGATGAATTTTGCATGAGACGAAGAGAAGCTATAGATTAGGATTTCTTCATTTTGCTAGCAGACACAACTTTTGCCGGCAGGTTTAGAAATTCATTGCAATGGCCTGCTAATGTTTGCTTTTGACTCAAATATATTTTTATGTCCCTATTTTATTTTATATTTTACTTTTATCCTTTTAATTTAATCTTAATTAATCTTTAAATTCAATTTTTTCTCCCTAAAAAAATTATAATTTCTCTAAAGTGCTTAATTACTGCATGGATGAAAACAAAACCTAAAATAAAGTTAACTAAACAAAATAATGGACAAACATTAAATCAAATTAAAATTACATAAAGTTAATAGACAAAAATAAAATACAACATGTTAAGTTAGCGACAAAACTCAAGTTGTTTTATATATGCTTTTGAACATGTTTCGTTATAGGAGATAGATTAACTTTGCTAACCATATTAGATTAGAACTCTTTCTTTTTCGAAAAAAAAAAATGAAGATGCATTTTAATAAAACCTAGACACCTTAAAACTAAAGAAAAATTACATATAGATCTCATGGAGCTAACTTATATACAAATAAGTCCTGTAAAATTTAAAAATCATGACTAGATCTCTTGAAACTTAAATGTAATTTGAAATTATAAGAAAAAGACAACAATGGCCCTATTAAACATATACATATTAGATCAATCAAATAATTTACAATTATTTTATCAGTAATTTATAATTTTAATTTTAATTTTTTATAACTATAACTTTATATATCTAATAATTAAATTGATCAATTTAATTATTTAATATGTGAAGTTACAGTTGTAAAAAGTTACAGTTATAGTTGTAAATTACTAATAAAGTAGTTGTAAATAATTAATATTAAATTTTGTTAATAATGCATGATTGTTTAATTATTGGATATGTGAAATTATAGTTATAAAAAGTAAAAATTATAATTACAAATTACTGAAGAAATAATTATAAATTAATTATTTGATTGATGTACTATATGTTTTATAGGGGTCTTATTATTTTTACAACTTAATTTTAAATTACATTCAAGTCCTAAGGACCTAACTATGATTTTCAAATTTTACCATGTCTATTTACGGAATCACAACGTGCTTTTTTCTTAAAACAAGGCAAAGATGAAAGCTGGCCAAACCAGTACGTAACTAGACTTTGGTAAAAAATAAAAAATAAAAAAAAACGGTGTCAAGATTTGTAGATTAACCAAATTTAATTAATTTCCAAATTTTATTTATAGTTTTAAATTAGCCCCTTATTTGGGACATGCTAAAATAATAAAATATTTTTTATTCATACCCTATAAAAACTGTAAGTCTTCTTTTATTTTTCTGGCCGAGCTAAAAATATTCACACCAATAGTAAAGGTTGATTTCCCATTATTTGTTATCTAATTTTAAAAATTATAGCCAGATACTTAAATTAATTTAAACAAGAAAATCAAGGTAAACACATTATTAAAAAAAACTAATTAATAATCACAAGAAACATTATTTCCAAGATAATAAAAATTGAATCAATTATTAAACCAATCAAGATATTGAATTAAAGATTAATGGTTTAACCGGGGTCACACTGGTCTTATGCAAATTAAATTATTTTTTATTTTTCAACATGATAATAAGATTAAAGTGACAAAAAGAGTAATAAAATATAAACATATTAAAAAGAAATTTAAATAAATATTTACAGATTATTTTAAAATATATGTAAATATACCATTTCAATTAATAAGAAATCGAAATGTGTGTGGTGAGGACAGGAAACATGCAATAGGAAAATGTGAATGCATTTGATACTTATAGCTTTGTTTGAATAAGAGATTCAATAAAGTCAACACTAATGAGAAATCATTGCCTTTCTTTGTTGTTGTTATTGTTTTTCTTTTGTTTTTTTTTTTTTTAATGAGAAACGAATCCAAGGACTGACATAGGAGTGGGGACTAACGAGTAACCTATACTAGGACCTCCTCTTTTGCCCTCCTTCATCAGAATGCTCATCAGGATAAGGAGGGTTGAATCACAAGAATCAAGATTGAAGACAAAATGGGAGAGTGAAGTTAAGCCTGGAACTCGAAAAGCAACAAATCAAGGAGACAGCACGATGATAGAGTTGAACACTCGAACGACGGAGAAAGACAAAAGTTGGTCGGCGGCATCGAACACCAGCGAATCCACGACGGCATGGAAGATTTCAAAGGCTGCGTTAATTTCAGAGGCTAAGAGATGAATGAAGATACAAGCAACTACAGTGACTGAGGTATGAGTGATTTGCGGCTTCTTCTGATCTCTCATTTCTGAATTTTAAAAAAATAAAATAAAATAAAATGAGGATGTTTTAGGCTTTTTAGGGGGAAGAAGTAACATAGCTAACCCCATGTTGATGGGCTCAGCTCAAAAATGATTTAGATGAAAAATCAGACCGAAAAAGAGGCTGGTTCATTAATTGATCCGGTAAGTCAAGTTCAGTTTTTCATTTTATGATTATTTCAACAAAAATTAATTTAAGAAACTTGACGAGCAATCTAAAATAATTAGAACACAAAAAAATAAAAGGAAAATAATAATAAAATGCCTTTGAAATATATAAATAATAATTTAATTCCACATAATATCACAATTCTCTTGAATTTTTTAAAAATTTTCTATCATTAATAAATTTATATAAATTATTAAATTGCCCTTATTGATAATAAATGATTCACAAGTTTTGTTTAAATATTCACAACTTTCCTTCGTATATTCATAATAATGCAACAGTAAATAAAGAATCTAACATAAGAAGTTGTGATTTTTTGTTATATTGTTGTGAATATAAAAAAAATTATGAATATTTAAACAAAATTGGTGAATAATTTATTATCAACAAGAGCAATTTAATAATTTATATAAATTCATTAATGATAAAAAAATTTCTAGAAACTTTAAGGAAATTATAACATTTCAAAGGACTACATTATCATTTATAAATTTTAAAAGGCTTTTATTGTCATTTTTTCAAAAATAAAAGGGTAATATTTTAATTTTTTTTACTAAAAATATTTTAAGTGACATTCAGTACATAAAGTATAATGAAATGAAAAAATAGTTTTATGTTTTAAGAACATCCTCTTTGTTTCTATATAAAATGACAGTCATTATAGAATATAAATTCATATTAGGGATATAATATAAAGAATTATAGATATTACATGTTACTCTTTTATATAATAAAAAATGTTCATGATTATAACTAAAATGCTTCATGTCTTCACAGTATTTGTGTGCAATACTTCAGTGGATAAGAGATATTGAAAAAAAAAAATAAAAAAAATATTTCAGATGATTTTAATCATGCAAATTAAACATATTTAAGCACTCTATGTTTATTATATCTTACTAATTAACAGTAATTATCAATAACAATATCTAAATGAATATTATAAAATTTTTAAGAAACTGTATTATTTATAAATCATAAATAACATATGACCCCTTCTTTATACTCCCTACAATAATACAAAAAAGCCACATATGATTTAACAAATTGTTATAAATTTATATTTTTACATTGATATTTATGATTAACATTTAAAAGCTTAATATTACAAAACCTAAAATGCAAATTAAAATCAATCTAACCATATAAAACTTTTTTACCAACACTGCAAGATATAAAAGTCACAAAATCACATGATGCTAGATCTGGTAAGAATAAGGTGGGTATAGATAATAATGAAGTATTCAAACTTCAAACTCTTATTATATGTATTAAATTACTTAAAAAATATGTATTGTTTATAAATAGGGTTAAGGTTTATTTTTATCTTGAACTTTTTTTAGGAGTAATGGGCATCCTATACTAATAAGTGAGGTAATTTTCCTTCTCAATCATTTTTTGGATGAGCAAAAGCTCTCATCTCCATTAACTTTGTCATTTTTTTGTTGACGCGACATGCCCTTTGATGTTAATTTATCAATAAATTATTTTTTTAAGGGCATTAGGTACCCTAAAATTTTATTAAAATAAAATTTAATAAATATTATAAAATATTTAAGGGAAAATTAATCTTTTAGTTCTCCAATTTTTAATTCACTTGTAATTCAGTCCCTCAACTTTTAAATCACTTACAAATTAGTCCCTGAACTTTTATTAATTTTTTTTATGTTAGCTTATATCTCACATCAATGAGCAAGAGGAGGGTATTTTAGAATAATATATGAGCATTTTTTTATTTCTCTTATTTGATAAGAAATTTTTTAAAAAAATAAAAAATAAGGATCGAATTATAAGTGAATCAAAAGCTAAGGGACTGAGTCGTAGAGAGTCATAGTTGAGGGATTGAATTACAAGTGAGTTAAAAGTTAAAGGATTAAAAAATTAATTTTTTTAATATTTAATATTTATTAATAAAAATTAATATTGATTAAGTCTCTTAAATTTTTTAAGTCATTCTTTGTATTTTTTTTATTATCTAATGGTCTTCCTCTAAAATATTGCATCACTTAAATTTAGTATTTTGTAACTTCATACTAAAAGTGGTGGGAATGAACCTCCAAATTAATAAATAAAATTCATATTATCTTGTTAAATTTGCAACTTCTTTTCCAAATTTTAAAATTGAAAACATATTATATTATATAAAAATACCAATTAAGAACTTAAAAGACTTGTTTTGCATTTTAAAATTTCTTAGGACTTTACTTGAATAAAATGATTTGTCATTCCTCCTTATGAGTACAAATTACTTAGATATGT